CAATTCTCCCTGCTAAATAGACAAACAATACTGTTGCATCTTTGAGCCACCTTGGAGTTCATCTACGCCTCTTTTTTTTTCTTGTTTCACAGAGGATGGCTCAGATGATCATGGCAACACGTTTTTGCCTTGTTGGCATTATTGCCAGCAGACAAAGTTCTACCTGCATCGTGGCTTTGAAACAAATCTTTATTGACAATTGTCAATTGCCAGAACTGTGAGCTTTGACTTTAGTCGTATGTAGGATTTGGAATCAAACAACAACATTTATAAAATCTTACAGTAGTGTAAGGTTATACCTAGAAATATTCAATGTTATGCACTTCTCCCCTAAATTAAGCCTGACATCTGGTATCTGAGATCTACACTAGAACTTGAAATAAAGTTTTTTTTGTAGAAAATAAGCAAGGAATAGCTGATGCAAAACAGACATCTTGCTTATCCTGGGGCCCAGCCTCTCAAAACAACCAGTATATTGCTATTTGGGACTCCAAATTAACCTGCAGGGGTTTAGTTTGAAACATCTTTGGCTATTTTAGTTACAAGTGCATAGGCTCATAGCTAAACCTACCTAATGCCCGATTACCAACCTGACCCAGGGTCCCCAGAGGTAACAGATTTATTGTATGTCAGATGATTGATGATTGGAAATATGCACCACTAGAGCACAATATATAATCAAATGATCCTTTTTTAAGTGGGGCTGTATGAGGTAGCCTACTTATCCTAGATGGCAGTCAGCTGTTCCCAAGTTTGGAGAAACAGAGAGCACCGTCACAGAAGCTAAGCAGTGTAGGCCTACTGCTGGGAAAATATGTTCTATAATTTAGTGTACACTTCTCATGGGATTTGTTGACAATAAGAAAATATCACCACTTTAAGGCGGATCCTGTAGTTACCTCTGATGTCCACATGTGTCAAGCTTTGCATGGTGCATATTCTTAATAGATTCTTGGCCCCTCAGGACCCTTGGTGGGTTAATGTGCTCTTGAGCCTACCTGTTTTTCAAATTAAAATATGTTTGACTTGCTAACACTTTTCCCGGTCCACATTGTAGTAGAGTCAGACCAAGAGCAGCTATCAATTTCCATCGATGTAACTCACGTATGGTATGAAAATAAATCGTATTATTTACACAATTAAAGTCCATCCATCAATTTACATCTATAAACACAGTGTGTAAACAAAGAAGTAGTTGTGAATGAACATGTTAAATAAAGTTTGTGTGAAACGACCTTCCACAGTCATCATCCGGGCCTCTACATACGTCACACCGCGCATGCGCACTCTTCCACTGTAGTTCGACCTCTGCAGTCGGTAAGTGTGTAATGGCAGTTTGAATGAGAATTACCTCTCTCTAAATCTTCTTTCATCCTCTCTCTAAATTTCACGCTGCAGCGCACAAGTGAGGACAGCATGCAGAATGGATGTGAATGTACATATGAATGTCTTTATTTTGTCTGTGGAGCATTTTTACACCCGTTTGACCTTACTTATCTCCGGTCTTCCCTCAGAGAGACCCGGGCTTCAACCAGATTTGACCAAACCCGTAAAAACAACCTAAAATAGAAAATGTACGCCTGTGCAAAGTTCGTCTCCACGCCGGCTCTGGTAAGTTTGTTTTCTGCGGCGTGCTTTCGTGCTTTGAATTTGAGTCCTGCTTTCTTAATATCACCGGTAAATCCGGTGGGCCTCTGGTTGAACTTGACTGTAACGTTAACGTTAGCAGACTGCCAAGGGTATCTGCAGTCTAGGCCAACAGGTTAGCTAGCTAATGCTAAATCACTTAATGACAGAGTTTTAGACGGTGACAATTTAGCTTTAATATTCATAAATAATGTGCATATAAATTATCTTCAGAAACTGTTACTGTGCCATTGTTTAGCTCATAGCGGATAATTTCAGTAACGTACGTTAGCTAAGGTCATTACAAGCCTTTGTTAGCGAATATATTGCAGAGTTCACGTGAAAACTCATGCACGGGGCTGTGCAATTGACACAAATGATCACCGTATCCGTTTGAGGCATTGCTGGCTCCAAAATAGATCAAGCATTCGTGGTTGTTCATTCTCCAAGGTCATATTTCTCTTTCTACTAGATAGTAACAAGGTAACCAGATTAAACCACAATTGGACGTTTTGTTAATGCTAGTAGATTTCTGTCAGTATTTATTGTAGTTTGCCAGCAGTGACTTTGACAACACAGACTGTACTGGCAGATCATTGAAGGCCACAGGTCATCAATACAGTGAATGACTGTCACCAAGTGACATTCAAGGTACCTTCCACCTGCTGGTGTTCCTGCAGGCTGTGAATAGCTACCAACAGTGTGTTTAGTGTCTTATTGTGTGTGTGTGTGTGTGTGTGTGTGTTTAACTAAATATGTACTGCTTTTGTAACTGTGATGTTGCTGCAGGTCCGTGCTGGTTCCCGGGCTCTTTACAGACCCCTCTCTGCCTCAGTGCTGTCCAGGCCTGAGATCAAAACAGAGGTAAGATTAAGTTCAGGCTTTCTACTGCAACTGTCATTCAGCCACTTAGTTACCTAGAACTACTTTTGAGTGATGTTTCTAGTCACTTACTCTATAAAATGTCAGAAATGCCAAATGTTTACCACAAATGTTTAAACCACAATGTGTCAGTTTCAAATTGGTATTAACAACAGCCAAAACAGTCAAGACCTCAAAAATACAAAAAAAAATCCCTGCTCTTTAGCCAATTACTAGCTTTTTAGGGTATTGAATTCGGTTTTTATTTGAGTGTGAAACTCTTTGCCATGTAAAGGTTAACATGGAAAATAGTTGGGTTTGGTAAAGTTACTAAAAATTAATTTACCTGTTTAATCAGTAAGCACTATTTTGTATGTCAACTGGATTGTCATATCTTATGGTATAGGTTTTAAAGTTGAAGGTTTTCAGTTTCTCTTCTTGCCCCAGAGCAGTGTTGCTGTGATGCCACAGAGCCCCCTCACCCAGGTCACACTGAGGGGCTTCCAAACCAGTGCTATCAGCAGGGACATTGACACCGCTGCCAAGTTTATCGGAGCTGGAGCTGCCACAGTCGGAGTCGCTGGATCCGGAGCTGGAATTGGGACAGTGTTTGGCAGTCTCATCATCGGCTATGCTAGGTTTGTTTTTACAGGCATACATCCTGACAATTAAAAATGCACGTGCATAAATGTAAGTTTCTGGTTTGTGCTTTGTTTTTTCATCGATGTATTGACAGTTATTTCTTGTTTGCAGGAACCCATCTCTTAAGCAGCAGCTGTTCTCATATGCCATCCTGGGATTTGCCCTGTCCGAAGCCATGGGACTCTTCTGTTTGATGGTCGCTTTCCTTATCCTGTTTGCTATGTAAAACTCTGCTATCAAACAACACTTTCATTACACATGTGACTACATATTTTATTGTGGCTACCAAAATTGTTCAGTGTGGGTGTCATGGAAATGTACATTTTCAAGTCTTTCAGACACTGTCAAAATAAGAAAAACATGTATTGTACAAATGTAAGAAATTACGTGATTAAAGTACATGTATTTGATTATTTAACACTGGCAGTAGCTTTTATGTCTGGAATATCATGCTAACATTACAGAAAGCAGTCCGTTTTCATGAATGTCGTCTTTTCTCTCAAGCAGCTACTTAGACTTGCCATATCAGCCTTGTTTTCTCAGCATCACATGCAAGCTTTTTGGGGTCCACCTTACTGAATTCTTGGTTCAGCTGCAGTTAAATAGCACTGTAATTAGACAGCAAGTGAATGCTTGCTTTTGTAAATGACATTGAATAAATCTAGACAATTGAGCTATATTATGGGTTTTGACTTTATTTTAATGGAAATCCCAGCAAGGATGTTATAAAAACTGACCAATTGTAGTCAGCTGACCTTTCTGTCTATAATGTAGGCTGCTTGGCTTGGACAGAGTTTAGTTGCAGCTGGAACAATCAAGCAAAAATACCCAACATTTGCTAGTAGCAGCTTCCCCAATACAAAGTGGGCATCATACAGATTGTTTTTCTTTTAGTCAATTTTGTGTCATTGTAAACAGATTTTTTTTTTTGGTCTGTCAGACAATAACTTTGTGGCTTTGGGAACTGGTGATGGGCTTTTTTATGATTTTATATACTAACTATATAAGTTATAAAAATTCACCAATGGATCCATGACAAACTTGCAAATTCAAAACAAAATCACAGAATTGGTAAATGTCAAACAAGACACCCGTTTAGCATGTCAGATGAAGTTACAAGGTTGTTTATTTGTCATTATACAACACATGGTTGTATAACAAAGTTTGTAGTCCCTTTGTGCTACACACAGAACTTAACATAATTAAATGGGTGTTAAAATATGGTAACATTAAAGAAAATAAAACAATAGAATATTAATAAATTGAAACCCTCTGTCCATGAATGTATACCTAATAGCTATAAAACAAATAAGCCTTAACCAGGGATGCTAATATTAAAAGTTAAAGCAAGCTACCACAATGCACTTTAGCAAATTAAATATATCAACAGCCATGCAAGGAGGCCGGGTAATATGGAAACTTAAAGCCTCCAGAACATACAAATAAAGAATGGACTTTTCAGCAAAGTAGGATACACTGTGTTCACCAATTAAACTTCTGAATTGAAAACATTTTAATATTCAGATTCTGGATTTTTTTAATGGGGGAAAAGGAGCTGTGTGTTTTTAAGGATGTTTAATGAGGTAATTAAACTTAATTGTGACAAAAACTAGATCAGACACAAATTATTATTCAAAGCAGAGTATTTGCATATGTCTTAAAACATGTCTGGAGGGGATCTTTAAATGAAATTCCTGTATATCTGTTAAGACTGCTTGAGGAGGACATAACAGGCTGTTCCCAAATGTGACGTCTACGGAAGTTTTCAGGATGCTCTCGCGATACTTCGATACATACGTGGGATTTGGGAAATCAAGGGTTGTGGCTGGGGTAAGTGACCACATAAACTGATAGTGAAGGGATACTAAGCTGTTAAACGCATTTTTTCTAGCACTACGATGGGCTTGTGTTCCGGTACAATGAAACGGCCTCGAAATAAACGTTGACATCTGCTCTGTTAACAGTGATATTTAGGTCCAAATATGGCGACGGTTGTATGTTAACGCAGGGCTCAGGCTCGTCCATGGAAGCGACTGGAAACAGATAATCGCACTCTTTCCGTGACTCCTTTCCATGATGAACTATTATAACGTAACTTACAGCTCAGGGTGTCATCCTCAGTCGCGCATTCAAACCAAAATAAATAGACCGAAAATTCAGCGCCTTTTATGATGACACTGACGTGTAAACAACCAAAGCAACCGCCCATCATCGATATGCTTTGTCCAAATTTCTAGCTGTCCTTTCTCAGGACTTTCACCTTGACCGTGCCTCTTCAACATTAGCCGATAACAGCTATGTGCGTTTGCTGAAATTATTAAAGTTTATTCTACATCTTGAAGGACCCTTAGTGTTATTTATATAACAGTTAACCCTTGGTACACTCATTAACGCACATCTTTAGGTCTGTTGTTTAACTCCTGCTTGTGCTGTTTCCTGTTTTATTTCAGGGCGACATAACAGGAATCCCTTACTATGAGTGATGATAAACCTTTCCAATGTACTGCTCCTGGGTGTGGACAGGTAAGTGATCTCTGTTATCATACATGTCACTTTGTGCCACTACTTCAAGTTAACCTGTGTTTAGATAAGCCTATGCCTGGATCAACCTGTTCTGGGTTCCCATCATCAGTGTACATTGCACACTATAAATGCTAGCTTCGTTATATTTTGTACAGAGACCCACAAACCAATCAGCAATCATGTACTGGCATACTGGAATACTACCTGACCCCGTTTTCTGTGTGTCACTTAGTTTGTGGTAGTGTTGGTCAACTATATGAGCACAATATGAACTAGAATAGAGGACGACCAATGCCAAACCCAGTTGATTTTGTTCTTTAGTGGTGCAGATTAATAAACAAAGTACAAAAAAAATTAATTTGCATGATTTACCATGTTAAACTTATTCAACTGCTCTTACATTAATTTCAGTTTCATGTCTCAGTGTTTCCCTACATAATGTTTTTTCTCCACACTGCCAGACATTCAGTTATGGGGGGGATTGTTGTATTTATTCAGTAATGTATTTCTTATTTTGTCTTGGCCAAAAGGCATCAAATTCAGAGGAAGTAAGTCTTAAAACTGCTGGTATCATCCTTTAAAAACTCCCTATATCTGAGTTTGAATTAAGCATTGTATAAGTAAGTATAAACTGAAGAGGTGTTCCTAACATTAAGTCTACGCTCATTAATATGTAAATGTGGACAAAATTACTCTGTCATAATTATCACTGCTCCAGTGTCATGACAGCTGCAGCAACTAATGTTAAATGTTGGTTAAAATTGTCTTAATCTTAGCAATGAAAGTAAAAGATTTTTAAATTGGCTGCCTGCAACTGACAGAAGCTCCAGATCATATCTATACAAATACTGTCTCATTGTCCTGTCTGTTTTCTTTTTTAACCTTACATAGAGATTTACAAATGAGGATCACTTGGCTGTCCACAAACACAAACATGAGATGACCCTGAAGTTTGGCCCAGCAAGGAATGACAGTGTCATCATTGCTGGTAGGCGCTCTTGAAGCTGAGATATTTTGATGTAAATTGATTCTTTACATTACAGTCTTCACACTGAAAGGTTTTCCCTCACCACAGATCAAACCCCTACACCTACCCGCTTTTTGAAGAACTGCGAGGAGGTTGGACTCTTCAATGAACTTGCAAGTCCGTTCGACCATGACTTTAAAAAAGCAGCTGAAGATGACATTAAAAAGGTTGTTGTCAAATTCCTTGTCAGCCTTTCGTCTAACTTCAGTTTGTCCCATAGTTAGCATTTCTGTCTCTGATCCATTTTATTCACTTCAGTTATTCTCATTTATCTGTAGTTACCATTGGATTTGTCACCTCTTGCAACGCCCATCATACGCAACAAAGTTGAGGAACCCACAGCTATGGAGGCACATCGAGATAGCCCTCTGCCTCACCCTGAATCTACTACGAATGACGACAAGGTAAAGCTTTTAAATAAGCTGTTTCTGGTAGTTGTGCTAATCACAGAGCGTTGACATGGCTGTCGTGAAGAGTGAATGAAAGGTACTCTCCTGCTTCTTTGATTGGCAATTTACTCTGAAATTCTAGTGACTTGAATGAATTTAAAAAGTGATCAGATCAAAAGTATTTGCTTGTTTACTTTGTCTCATCGTTCATTGATAATACTTGTCTCATTCTGTGAAAACAAATACTAACAGTACTGCACAGAATTATTATCTATAGAAATTCAGGAGAGATATGAGGTGACGTATACTAATACAATTTTTCCATTTGTTTATTTATTTTATTCCTAATTTTGAGATGAATATGATGAATGTGGGCATCATTTTATTACAGCCATTTACTTAAGAATCTGGTTTTCATTAAACACTTCCTGCAGCTAAGGTCTTGTATGATGTTTTCAGGACATATCTTTGCAGCCAGCCTCACTGCCAGCATCCACTATAGTCCATCCTGCATCCCTCCAAGTTCCCAATGTACTTCTAGCAACCTCAGAGGCTAATGTTGTAATACAGCAAGCTCTCCCATCACCAACATCTAGCTCTGTTATTACCCAAGTCCCATCCACTAATAGGCCTATAGTGTAAGTAACTCAAAACATCCATTTTTAAAAATCATAGATTTATTAAGTCATCTTTTTTATATATATATTTGTGCAGTTTTGTCTTGGTGAGATCATATTTCATGAGGCATGTGCTTGTTTTGTTTTTGATTTATTTGCATTCTGCAGGAATTTTTACTTTTTGCTGTAGACCTCATAAACCCCGTCTTCAAGAACAATGTTCAGCATTGCTCAAATATGGACTTATAGCTCCACTTCAGTGATAAGGTGCTCAAATGTTGCTGGCAGGTGGCATACTAGATACCTATCACATCTGAGCTGTAGAGAAAGATGAGTCAAAGAAAAACTAGCCATGTGTACATGCGATATCCGTATCCATTGCTTGTGCAACTGAGCCACGGCTACAGCAAGTTCTGTAGGTCAAAGTTCTGTCCAAACAATTGTTTTTGCGCATACCTCAACAATTAAGCTGGTTAAGTGATTTGTTTTTTTTAACCAAACCCACTCAAAAAATCAAAAAGCAATGATGGACAAAGGATCCATATTTCCTGTAAAGTTTTTGGTTGTAAAATAACAGCTTCAAATTGAAATTAATTGTAAGAAGTAATAGCCCAGATGCAACTTTAAAGACAAGTTTACACAGGTAAAAATATCCTGTATTTTAATGAATGTTCCAGACACAGATGACTTGGTGTAAGTCTCAAAACCCATTAGACATCATCTGATGACGTTTTTGCCTCTGGGGACAATGGGCGATGTTTCTGGGCTTTTGGTATCGCCAATGGATACTGGATAATGTATATTCAGGCCAAGACTTCCTCTTCCGTGCGACAGTCATTGTTTACTGCCCGAATTGCAGTGAAAAGCCACTTGGACTGCAAATGGAAACCAGAGCACTTCCGATACCAAAACCTTGTCCCTTGCCTACCCATTGTGAATTCATATGTAGATATCTGTTTATCAAGATTAATTTAGTGATAATTCCAGGTGTTTTACCAAACCAGAAGTCCATATCTGGGCAAGACTGATGTCTAATGTGAATAATGTTGCTTGAACCTGTTATGCAGAAGGTGTATTTTGAGTTGGATTTTGTTTTGGTTCCACTTAATTTCCATATGTTGTTGCCTGATTATGTCATAATGTTGGTATATTATAACAGTAGCCATCCTTGTCTTTAATTTGTGACATATTGTGATTTTTGTGATAATGACTAAGATTTATTTTCTCTACCCCTCCAGCCCGGTTTCTGGCACCTTCCCTGTGCTGTTACAGCTGCCTAACGGCCAGACCATGCCAGTTGCTATACCTGCATCTATTACAAGCTCAAGTGTACATATTCCAACTACAATCCCTGTGAGTTTTCTGCTGGTTAAGTTATGCTAATTCTGTGTTTTAGTGTGTTAGAGACAGAATTTTGAAATGAGACTGTTTCTTTAATTTGGTGACAATTTCATTGAAACCATCTGAGAATTAAGAATGCATGCAGTGGCCTTGACTCACTGAACATATGGTGATGGCACTAAAGTAAGTAAGTAAGAAAGTGTTGCTGACAAAAATTCTCACCTCAAGGTCCATTCAGTAGCTGTTCGATCATATCACATGATCATCATCTGCAGATAGTTTTATCAAGGAGATTGTTTTGTCGTCTGCTGTTTAAGACATATGCAAGGACAAGAATGAACTAACTAATGAACCAAAGCATTTGTTTCCTCAAGCCAAGCAGTTTTAGATTACTATTTTAGTCCAGGGTGTAGAAAAATAAGATCACTAGACTGTGTTGAATTACTTAAAAGCTTTGATGCTTACTCACATTTTAAATTTGAAAGGTTGTATAGACAGTTGATCACACCACTAAAATTTAAGGCCTTTTAAAGGTCCCGTATTATGCAAAATGTACTTTTTCATGTCATTTCAACTTAAATGTGTCCCCGTTGTGTCTGAAGTGACCCCCAAACTGGCGAAAAGAAACATCCCCTTGCTTTTTCTCCTGCTCTGTCATTCAGTAAATGTGTGTGCATACACACTGTTTGAATTTGGCTCACTTCATGACATCATAGAGGGATCTGTTTAGCATAGGACCTCCTCCAGTCCTTCAAGGCAATAGACGGCCCCGCCCACTGAAAAGGTACTGAATACACAGCTCTCAGCCCCACCGTCCAACACAACACCAAGCCGTCATACCATCACTGAGCTAGATCTGGAGGTTATTCGGGATGTCTCACATAAAGTGCTTTTATGGTTATGATGGAAATATATATAAATATTTTCTGGGTTTCCCTCTAATGTCCTCTGGCTGCTCATCCTCAACTCTCTGTGATTTAGGGAGTTTCCTGATGGACAGATAGCTTTACTTGTTGCTAACTCTACAGTAACCGCTAGCTACTGCTAACTGTAGCTGCCCTTATCAGCTGAATATGCCCGATCTGGTCACTCCCAGCAGCTTCAGAGAGCCCCTACTCAGCTCCAGCAGCATCTTATCATTTTTACAAACCTAATTCTTGTCTCATTTGTGGTTGAACAGTAAATACATCAAATTCAGTGCCCCATTTCACTTTTTTCCAAGCTAAGTTATTTTAGATGTCATACTGGCAAGAGGATGAGGCGGTGCAGGTCACTGCCTAGTCTTGAATAGCCAGATCCACACATCGTGTAAGTGCTACGCCAGCTAGTTGCTGCCACTCAGGAGGCTTCCGGGAACTTGTCCTATCAGAAGAAAGTGGGCTTCTAGTGCTAAAATGGAGTATTCAGACAGAGGGTGAATAGAGCTGCTAAAGTATGAGAAAAATAATCAGTTTTTTGAACATTAGAGCTTGTACATAATAAAAGTGTCAACTTGAAAATGAGCATAATATGGGACCTTTAAAGTGACATTCACACAACAGTAACGCTGTGGTGATACATTAATACCATATATTTTCTTTGCTATTTACTACTTTGGCACCTCAGATTTGGCAGTCAATTCAGAGCTCTAGAGGGTGAGTGAAATAATTGACAACGCAAAAACTAGTTAGCAGTTAGCACTGTCGCCTCACAGCAAGAAGGTTGTGGGTTCAAACCCCGGTTGCATGTTCTCCCCGTGGGTTTTCTCCGGGTGCTCCCGGCTTCCTCCCACCGTCCAAAAACATGCAGCCTAGGTTGATTGATTACCCTAAATTGTCCTTAGGTGTGAGTGTGAGCATGAGTGGTTGTTCGTCTATGTGTGGCCCTGCGATGGACTTGCGACCTGTCCAGGGTGTACCCCGCCTTGTGCCCGATGTCAGCTGGGATTGGCTCCAGCCCCCCCGCGACCCTGTATGCAGGATAAGCGGTTGATGGATGGAGGGTACAACTGTGTGTCACTGTGGCAAAGATGCAGGATTTGGCTAAGGCACAGCAGGCTCCAGTCCAGGATACTTCACTGCTATTTGTTCTTGCACAATTAGAATTAACGCTCCTGATTCCTGGCAGAGCAGAAATTTATGTGTTTTGCAAACTAATTATAACTGCAACCCATGACAATGTCTCATATAGGAAATATGTTGTAAATGATGGTCTTGTTGGTATTTTTATTTTTTTTTAACTGCCCCATGTGGAAGCTTGTCTTGTTGTTCACTGTTGTCCTGATTGTCTATGTGGAACACTGAGCAGCAGATGATTATCTCCTGATAGCGGCACAGCAGGGAAAAAAACTCTATTTTCCCAGTCTGTGGGGATCGGGAAACCGCTGATAAGTAAAGGAGGGCAAAAGTAGATGGAGAACACGAGTACCAGTCAGCCTCCCTTTCACTCGATCAACCCCCCACCCCCTCCTTTCTTTCCCTCCCTCTCCACCTCTCCCCACCTCCCTCTGTCTTATTGTCAGCGGCGGCGAGAGGAGGCCTGGCTCTGGCCTTCCGACTCGTGTCTCTCCATCCTCTTATCAGCTTCCCTGTCCATATGCTCTCACGCAGGCAGGCAGAGGTTCATTAGCGTGCACTCTGCATCTCCATGTGGCGCTGCCTCCACAAAATAACAGGCCATCCAACCTAATGAGGCTGAGATATGAGGAAATTCTGAGAGCCTGCCGTGGCGGTGTGCGTGTTTATGTGCGTGGGGGGGGTGGGGGCGCCGCCTGCCTTTTTACTGCCGAAGACTAATTTTCTCTGTGCTGATCTGTCTCTGTGTCTCTGCCGTCAGCTTGTCAGACCTGTCACCGTAGTGCCTAATGTCCCCGGGATCCCAGGACCTTCCTCGCCACAGCCACAGCCCGCCCAATCAGAAGCAAAGCTGGTATTAATTATCTCTTCTTTTACATCAAATGTTATTTCCATGTTGAGTCTGTGATTTTTCATCTGAGAGAAATAATAACAACCAAAGTAATGAGTGAGCTTGACCATAAACTAGCAGTTGCTTTCTTTGACCAGATGAGGGTGGTAGTGAGAGGCTGGGTGTGAAGTACTCCCAAAACTGTGTTAGATTTATAATTACCATCCCCCTTTCAACAGGGGACTTTCCATCTGGATTTTACCATTTAAAAGTTCTTTCAAATGTGATTATGTTTTTACTGATTTTATAGAGCCGCAACAATAAGTTGATTCGGGCGACAGAAAATTAATTGCTAAACATTTGCTGGTTCTAGCGTCTCTAATAATAATAATAATAATAAGATTATGAATAACTGTACTTGAGTGTCAACTTTGAGACGCAGCTCAAAGTTCTTTTAAAAAACAGGATTAAAACAGTGTAAAGCCAAAAACAAAGTGAAAATGAGCTGTTGTTGAAAGGTTGATAACAATAATAATAATAATAATTAAAACAAATGTAAGTAAATATAAGCTTTTCTTTGTCATTCATTTTTGGGTTTTTGACTGATGGTCGGATAAAACAAGACATCTAAACATGTCACCTTAGACTCTGGGGAAACTATTACAGGCATTTTTTTTGCAATTTTCTGACATTTTATAGACAAAGTGATTAATCAATGAAAAATATTTGGCAGATGAATCGGAATAATGGGGAAAAAAATATTTAGTTGCTGCCCCACTGATTCAGAATTAAAAAAAAAATATTCCAAACATTTCTCTGTGAGGAGAAGGCTGTCATGGCAGTGTTGTACCAAAGTTGTACTGTAGAAGAAGAGATAGTTGAAGGGCAGGGATATGAAGTGTTGTGAGGGAGATCAGTGGCAATGTGATGAAGCACGGATCACAGAACCTGTAAGTGTTCGCAGCATGCTCCACCTGTGGAAATTAACAGATAAACTGCGGAGAGGAGGTGTGTGTGTGTGTGTGTGCTGGGAGAGAGGGAAGGATTGATCCTGACTGGCGGGGAGGATGGAGGAAGGGAGGGGGTTGTTGGGGATCATGGGGTACGGAGAGATGACAAACGTGGAGACAGCGTTGTGCTCAGCACGCCGTCACCGGGGCCAACTGGAGGGGGGCTACTGGTGAAAGCCAGCTGGGGGCATCCTGGCACACGCTCAGCAAGGCGCATTAAGTCGGCCTCACCCTGCATGGAACCTTTTGTTCAGCAGAATCCTGCCTGACCTGCGTCCCCCCTCTTACTCCCAGTGCCTCCCACTGCACTCAGCTCATCAGCAAACACCTAATGAGCCCGCGTCAAGAAAACAGACCCCCGCTCAACCTGCCTGCTCCCCGCCCCCACGGGCTCTCAGGGGGTGCGGATACGGCACTTTACAAGGACTGATGATGCTGCAAAGACCACAATAATGATAATTAACTTGCTGAATTTAGAAGATTATGCTGTTAATTAGTTGCAAAATAAAGATAAGTAATATAGTAGCAGATGGTTGAATAACACCCATGAGATGGAGGGTTATTACACTGATGAGGTTTCCGTGGCAGAGATGAAATATGAATCTGACTGGCTTTTCCCTCTTTCTATGGGCCATTCCAAGAGAATAATATCTTGTTTCTGCCAGAAGAGCTTCTGGAAGGGTATTACACGATAAACTAATTTGGTAGATAGATTGGTCTGGCAAAGGTAGTTGTTAGAATAATGTGGTCCTCTGTTTTCTCATGTAAATGTATTCCCTCTCACTTTGTTATTGCTTCGAAAGGCTCATTCACTTTCACCTTGTTTGCTCAGTGTTTGATACTAGAGGAATTGGCCTGTGAATCATGGGCGCCAGAGAAATAGTTTCTGTGAATGGGCTGTGTTCGTGTGTATTGTATGCAGTCTTGGTCAATGTTCAGAAATAAATGTGAGGAGTGTCTTACATGCGTGCATCAGACAGTTTAGTTTTTGCGTTGTGTGTTTGCAAGGTTATTTTAGTTCTAGTTTTTAAAATGAGTTTCTACTCTACTACATTATTTCTTTTTAGTTTTTCTTGACTTATTTGATTTCATTTATATACATTAATTTTGGGGGGGAATGAAATACCAAAGTACTTGTAGAAATCAGAATCGGCTTTATTGCCAGGTATGTGAACACATACGAGGAATTTGATTCTAGATTGTACATTGCTCACGATGTTCTTACAAAATAAATATTCATACAAAATTACAATAATTAAAATAAAATAAAATCAGACACAGACTTCAGTGTAGACAACACAAATATACACACTATGAACAAAAACAATATAGACATTGACAAATAGTGCAGTGAGTAGAGTGCAAAGGATGCAGGAGTATGTACATGTCGGAGGTAGATGTGATATACAGATACATATACATGCATACATGTACACAGTGCAATGAAGCAAAGTGCAAAGGATGCTGGAATAATTTAGTAAGTACTTTGTGAAGGAGTAATTACTTGAGGTAGGTGGATTTGGTATACAGTATCTACAATATAACAGTATGAACAGCACTGAAATAGAGAATGGTGAATGAATAAATAAATAATATAGTCTAGCATGGGTCCTAGACTATGTGAAATATCCTCCATCTTTAACATAGTCTAGTAACCATCTTTGATAATAATGTCAGCAGTGATACCTCTCTCTTCATGTTCTCTGCTGACTGCTCTAACCTTCATTGAAGCAAGATGTTAATCATGCTAGGTCTGGTGTTGGCCATCTATAGGCACTACTTTTCTCAGCTTCTTTCTGCACACACATTTATAAGACATTAAGGTATTTATTTATTTTTTTTCTTGGATTTCCCGTTTCATTTCAAGTTCTCAAACACAGCTGCCAAAGGCCTTCTGTTATTTAATGGTTTGTGTTCAAAATGATCCATCATTTGCAACTTGTAATTCAGTGGCTCAGGTCCACAATCTCAAACGTGCATTTCAACAAATTACAGTAGCTCTCAGAACATTGCTGAATGTGTTAGAGGTTGGCTGAGTGTGCTATGGGTTCATCCGGTTGTTGTGTTGTTGTGTTTTTTTAAAATAGTTTTGACTTTTTAATTTATAGTTGCGGTCTTTGTTAATTATTAGTGATAGAACGATATCTTTTGTTTTGAGCTAATCAGCATCAAATGACATATACCAGTCTAAATAACAGCTAATCTAATTTAAAACCATCACTGGCTAGTGTTATATATTGTTATACTATAGAGAGTACTGTAGCCCGCTCTCTCTTAAACACCAGTCACGTTCTGAAATCTACAGAATGATCCAATATTTTTCTATTTGACTAATTAATAAAAAATCCATCTGAAACTACACGTTACTGGATAAGATAACCAAATACATTCGATTGTAAAAGCTCACTTTCTCCATGTTTACATAATTGAATATAGTCTTCCTCTTGTACCAGACATTTCCTTGGATGAACAATTTTGTCATGACTTTTGCCTGTGCCACATCTCTTACCAGAAACTGAAAGCCACATTAAGCCAGCAGCTTCCTCAGGTAACCAATGGAGATGGCGGTGAAGTCCAGAGTAGCGCTGTAACCCACACTGCTGCTCCCACTTCTCCCGCTCCAACCCCAACCCCAACTCCAGCCCCGACCGCGGTCCTGACTCCTGCTCCGGCTCCTCACCTGCCCACAACTGAGGAACCTTCTCATCATTCCCTTCAGCAGCCAGCCACCTCCACCACAGAGACACCTGTAAGTTAGCACAACTACAGTATAGAGGCGTATGCTCACTGCACAGACTGTTTCAACAGAGTTCCATAGAGGAGACGTGTGTCTGCAATCTGTTCGAATGCACACCTTGTTTCTTATCAGATGTTATTATGGTCAAAGCGACGTTTACTAGTATGTCTTTTGGTTTAGACTTGTCTCTGAAGTGGATGTACAGTAGGACTGCATGTTGAATCTCAGCATCGACCAAAATGTATCAGGTACCGAACGCTGGCATCAAATGTCTGGTCAGATTTTTTATCTTACTGACCAAGTTTCTGATTATATAAGTTTCTGAAATCAAACAAAATCCAGCTTGAATGTATTGTTATCTCACTGCACCTTTCGTATAGAGCAGGTGTAGACCTCATTCTTATTATTTATAGAGACCCAACAATTCCCACCGTGAGCAAACTGTTAACTTTTAGCTAATTCTGAGAATTATTCCTGCCTAATTTTATAAAGCCTTTTGTACACACAACAGCCTAATATGGCAGTTGTTTAATCATGATGTTAAAATGACATGAAGCTGGATTTTCCTAAATCTTTCTTTGTCACATGTCAAATTTATAATATAAATGTAATAAGGTGAATGTGAAATTACTTTCTTGATCATCATGTAAAAGCACATAATACATGTACATAATGAGAATTGTTGACAGTAACACACTGAGTAACAGTAAAGTTACTCAGTGTGCAATATTCAGTGCTGCACAGTGATGTCAGCAGCACATTAAAGATGTGGTGGTGGTTTTGTTATTGTTTTTGTATTATTGTTCAGGCTTCCCCAGTGCCCCCTGCGCAAAACCCTCCAAGCACAGGGGGTCGGCGGCGCAGAACCACAAGTGAAGACCCCGATGAGAAGCGGCGCAAGTTCCTGGAGCGTAACAGAGCTGCAGCCTCTCGCTGTAGGCAAAAGAGGAAAGTGTGGGTCCAGTCTCTGGAGAAGAAGGCTGATGACCTCAACTCCATGAACGGGCAACTACAGGTGCTCTTTTCTTCTTCCCTCACAGCATGTAACAACAGCTACTTTGTCTTTCTTTGTTTTAATGCTCTTAAGCATCAATGTGTCAGTTAGTGTATGTATGTGTGCACGCCTATGTCTATCACCATGTGCAGTTGGTGTAAGTGTGTGTACACAGACTTTTCCCTTCTGTGGTGATGAAGTCATTAAAGCCGATTAAGAAGAGCTGCCGTGTGACAGCAGCGGTGTGTGAGCCCTTTACATCGATATGTCCCTGTCAATAAAGATGTATCCTCCAGATGTCAGCCGCGCACAAGCGTGTCTTCGCTTCTGTCTCAGCAGTTTACTGAATGGCCTCAAAAATCTCTTAGGGAAAGGTGTCTTTTTGAACCTTCATTTTGCTGGAAGCAATTAGGATCTGATGCTGACAAGTTCGAAACAGTTCATGTATCTCCTGTCTCTGTTGATAAGTGTGAGCCGGGGGTGCGGCACATCGGTGTTCCAGACAATTAAATGAGATGTGGTGTTTATTTGCTCACTGTCTTATTTTTCTAAGAAAGCAGAGTAAGATGTGGATGGTGGAGGAGGGGATAGACAGCAGTGGAAAATAAATGGGTTCATGTCATTAATATCAGGTTCAAAAACAAGTTATCACCACTTGTCATGGGTGCGCTTGGTGAGATTTTATTTAAATATAGTCGGATGAAGGGAGAAGCATAGGTGTGTAAATGGGGTTATAAACAGATCACATCGCTGTTAACTACAAAGAAGGGAACAACATGTGGCGGAGAATAAAAGGGCGCTTTATATGAAGGCATTAATCAGCAGTGCAGTTTTTGTTAAAACCCCCATGCTGACATGGCCCAGCTGATCAGTGAAACTGCCTCTAATGATGCACAATTATTTTAACATCATCCTTAACTGGCTTTTTAATGAGGTGTCAGACCAGGCAGCTCACAGGGCTTCCAGCATCACCCAAGGCCCATTTGCTCAATTTCGATTAATTCACAAAGTTAAAAACAAGTTTAACTCTCAAAAGTCCTGTTTTGTTTTGGTTCAAATTTCAGGTGTGATGCAGTTTGATGTTACTGTAGCCAGAGCGTCAGTGGGGGTATTACTGTGACGTCTTGTACTTCATCTCTTGTGTAAATGCATTTGTAAATCAACCCTTTGTATTTTCACTGCTTAGTTGTAAAATGAGTGAAACAGATGAAACAGTATTTTGTAATGGATGTCGACACTTTTGTCTAAGTCTATGTCGCGTGCTTCCCTGTAGCGGAGAGTTTTAAAGGAACGCCGGTGTTTATATTGGCTGCAACTGGCAGCAGTCATGGTGGAAGCGCAGTAAATATGGCATTGGCTCCATGTGATACATCCACTCCTTCCAGCTGTGTTTAAATCTGTCTTACAATAGTTCAGCCCTGCCAGCACCAGCAAGACTAAACAGATGGAATCAAATAAATTGGCTGCTTTTAGACTAATAGATTAAGCCGCCCATAGTCCTTTTAAAGAAGAAGAGAAGGAGCTTAAATCTGCCACTGGGTGTTCCGCGGGGCCCTGGTCGCTCTAAATCCAGATAAAGTCACCTTCAGCGTAATGTGGCTCCCTTTTACGACATGCAGAAATCCTCAGCTCCCATGGGAGCTGTAACGACACGAGAGTGTAAATCTCAGCAGCATCTACAAAGTTGCACTGACAATCTTAACAGCTCACCTCTGACAAATGTGCTGGTCGGTAGCCACTGAAGGCCTGTAATTATTGTGCAGGAAAAACATAAATGAAGAAGTGCATCATACTTTATTCTGAATCTGTTATGTTGTTACCTTTTCCTGTGTTGGCTGTTTCTCATGGGGAAAAACATGAGTTTATCTGCAGTAATGTAGTGGTCGTGTCTGCTCACTGTACAAAGGAGGTCTTGGGAATTTAACCCTGTGATCCCATTAATAATTGCCATTAAACGCCCGTGGTGGATACATTCATGTAGAGAGGGCACAAAGCCACATTCTAGCTACTGTTTGGTGAATATGCCGACTTATTGAGCATTGATTGTATACATGCAGGTTATGGGAGTATATTTACATGTGTTAATGTGGTTTGGAATCCTGTTCAGACTTAGGTCTTAATCTAGCTGCCTTTTTTGGGTTCAGACTAGAGCTAGAACGATTAAGACAGGCGAGCGGACACATTTGCCAATATTTTGTTTTTGCAGATATATCGGCTTAAATGTGAGCCAAAAAAGAACCAGTTGCGTAATTATTGGCCGATACATTGTTATCAGATTTTTGTTACTCAGATATCAGTATCAGGCTCAAGTTCAAGGTTAAGGTTAACATTGTAATTAAATATAACTAAAATCATTTTTGCAGATTTAAACTATATGCACATGTGGTCTCTTTGTCTTCATGTTATAGTCTGACACACTGTGTGCTACCAGAGTGACCATGTTATTGAGTGCTGCTTTATGTCTCCTTTCTCCCAAAGAGTGAAGTCACCCTGCTGAGAAACGAAGTGGCTCAGCTGAAGCAGCTTCTTCTGGCTCATAAAGATTGCCCTGTAACCGCCATGCAGAAGAAATCTGGCTATCACAGTGAGTAATGCTCCATTATTCTCAGCCCGAGGCTCCCAGTGAAACGTGTGTAAAATGAGCTCCAGCTAACCGCTAGAAGGACATGTCTTACTTGAGGCCAAACAGAAAGAGCTATTGACATATAAGATCCTTTTTTTTTTTTTTTTTTAACTTCACAAAAGTTTAGATATTTATGGGCAGTGTTGTTTCAGACAAATTGTCACGGGCGGGCATTGTCCGAGTCCTTTCAGGAGGCCACAGGTGGTATCCACAAGAAAGAAATAGTTTTCTCCTCATGTGACACCTAAATAAACATTTGTCAGATGAAGCTAATTGTCTGCAGAAACCAAAAACTTGCGTTGTTGAGAAATTCCCAAAAAAAGCATGATCTCTGATTTTGCAACAATTACTTAACTTTGAATCTCTTTAGCTTACATACAATGATCACCTTTATGAAAATTGTAATATTTACGAAGATTCTATCATTTGCAGCCTCTTCATTTAAATTTCCTGTTGTCAGCCCCTACCGTGTCATCTCTGTGCCAGTTCCTGTTCATCACATGGTCTCATTTAAAATTATATAACCAATATTTCTTCGTTTCCCTAGATCGGGGTCTCTGTCATTCTGGTTTTCTGGTCATAACTCACCTTCCCTCACAGATGAGCCAGTATGCAATGAGAACTAGTGTGCTCCAAGCCACTTCTCCACTATGCTCTAAACGCCTCCGCTGACTTGTATTGACAATGATTGCCTCTGAAATGAGTCCATTAAAGCAGCAAGCTTGACAAGACTGCAGAGCATTCTCGTTGTGGGGTGTCCACCAAGCTGGGCTGTTCATTATGCGTCCCTTATTGCTAACCATCCCACTGACACACGTCATGTGTATTACGGGACTGATGGTTTCAAGGCTGGAGTAGGCTGTCAGAGCCAGGGCTCATTTGGTATCGTCTGGATTGTTTTAAAGCAAGAACCGCAGATGAATTGGGTCATCTTTCTCGTGTGTTTGCCGAGGACGTCTGTCCTGCATTTCTAGACCTTTGTGAAGGATGACATTTGGAGCACTTTTTACCCTGTTTGGAAAAATATAACCTCATCCAAATACCCCAGTTCATCAGTTTGGCTCATGATGACAGGTGGGGTAGGTTTTAGACGAGCCAGGAAGGGAAGCCAACTAATGTTAGGGTGAAGATAAATGTCTGGTAGAATGGCAGAAGGAAATAACCCAGTGGTTTCCAATATTCATTGTCTGATGACCCCCCACAGCCCAATCAGATGAGCTCGAGTACGTCTTCATCAACACCACACGTCATGGTCCAAACTTGTCCATTTGAATTGTTTTTAAACTGGATGTTGTTTGACACTATTGATCAAATAAAAGTAGATATTGTTACAGTATTTATTCCATACAAATGAGCAGTAAATGCTTTGGTCTTTTTGGCCTACTGCCACTTAGGGTGGTAGAATCCAGTGGTTTCAACTATTTGAACTTTGAAGTTTTTTCCACTACTCTGACCTTTGTCACTATTTCAGGTAATAAAATAGTTAGCTAAAACTATCCAGACATTTGAAGTACTTCAACTGGTTTCTCCATCACATTCAGTTTTCACGCACTTTCAATCGCAACATGTAATTTCCAGGTTTTTACAGGTATTTCTGGGGGTTTTTTTGTTTTGTTTTTTAAATTAGCTGCTCTACGCCACAGATTTACCCCTCCGGCAACTTCATAAGTACACCCTCAGGCACGAGTACCCCCGGCAGGGAATCACTGAAACAATCTATCTTGCTAATTAGTTAAGCACATTATTTAATTCTGACTGATCTATGGCCCTCACTCTTGTAAAGGCCTCATCAAAACCCTTCATGTTCATGGTACTACATATCCCATAAGGCCTCACTGCCCTCCAGAGCTGGCAGTACCCTTCATCGTTCTGCCCAGGCACAGCCATGGCAGGTGGGAGGAAATTACCCAGACTGCCCCACAAACAAGCCAAGACACGCTTTCACTTGGCACAACAAGCCGTCCATCTGCTTACAGCAAAGCCCACTTCAGGAACCAAGAAAGCCGAAAGAAGCTCCGGCAGTGCAGGGAACCCAAATTTCCGAGTATTATGATATATCAGCCAGCCGCCCCTTAATGTCGTTAGGAGTAATAATGCTCACTTGAACATGGAACAAAACCACCAAGCTGATTTATTCTGAGGTTGACCTTCTGCATAGTAAAGCAGCAAGGCAGTTTATAGGGCTTTGACATTCACTTGCACTAAATCACACGGTCAAAGTCCAGTCAAGAAGGGGGGATGAAGCCTCTAATGTGAAGACATTTGTATTGCGCTTTAATTGCTTCATCTTGCTATGGAATCTGTATTTTTACATTCTCAAACACGAAACCCAGTCATTAATTACAAAGTGCCATAACAAGTGACTTCATATCATTAACAATATTAATTATCACTGTGCTCCTTATTCCTTTACGAAACAGAGCATGAGAGTAGAGCCTTTTTTTTTCTCCATCAGGATCCAATTAATTCAATGCAACTGCCTAACAGCTGGTGGCATTTCGACTCCAAGTCTTCCCTACTCTCCAGTGTGAGCATCATTAAAATCAGGTGCTGTAATCATCTGTCGCTGCAGTAGTTGGCAAGGTAACAAAAAACAAATGAGAATGCAGTTAGGGCTGGGAAACACTGCCACATGCCCCACAATGTAATGTACCCTTATGATGTGGGTTTAAATTGACATTGGAGCTTTAATTAAAGGAAAGGGTGCAGAAGTAGCATCATGAGGATTAATGAAACAGTTTGCATACACCACATGCAAATAGCTGTTTTACATCTGATTAGGCCTACGTGACAAAGCTTTCCCGAGCCTTCCTGGATTATAACAAGTAGAAAACTGCAATGTAAGAAAGACTAAACATTTTTAAGGTACAAGCGGTTATTTTCTCATTTTCCAACACAGTCTCTGACAAAGATGAGAGCTGCGAGGAGATGTCCGTCCCCAGCAGCCCGCAGAACGAGGCCATCCAGCACAGCTCCGTCAGCACGTCCAACGGGGTCAGCTCCTCCTCCGCGACCCCAGCTGTCTCCGCCCCGTCCACAGCCGCCGCAGCCGCCACATCAAACCAGAGCACAGAGGAGAGCAAGCCGCGAAGGGGCGCCACCCAGTCTCAGCCTTCAGGGAGTTGATCGTCCCAAACTGTGCCCAAGCGTGAACACTGGAGTGCTGTTGCCTCTTCAATCTCTCTGACAAACAGAGGAAATGGATTCTCTCTCTCAGCTTCAGTTTGGATCGCACTGTTTTTAATTTATTCTTGATTGGTTTGTTTATGTTTGGTCCGTTTTTGTCCTCCGTAGGCAATGCTTTTAAAAATGCAAATGTTTTCTCTGGAATTGATGAAGACAAAAGAACAGGCACTTTAGGTGTAAGATGTAAAACACATGATTCTAAAATGTTTTTGTATTTGTTTGTTTATTTATTATCCTTGATATATTTTTTATTTGAAAGCATTCAGCCTGAAGAGGTTGATCAATGAATTGTTAGACATTACCAAAGTGTGTTGTAGCCCATTTATAATTACTTTGCTTGTTTGTTTTCTTGACTTTTCTAAGCACTATCTTTATGATGAAGTTAAAGATCAGTCACTACCTTTGAAGTATATAATTAGCTTTTTCCATTTTGCACATTTTGAGAGATGGCAGGTTTACCTTTATAGAGTTTGACAGTCCACATGTTAAAAACCGGCAGCTTTTTAGAAGTCGATTTGAATACTGTCACTATTACACACATAAATGGCTGAATCAGATAAAAAATTTTAAAACGTTTCTGTGAGTGACATCAGCTCTAGTCGCATCGTGCAGTTTGAATGTTTGCGCTCACCTCTGCTTGTAAAAATAGGCTTAAGGAGGTGGGCTGGTTAGAAATGTGCGTTGTTTCATTAACATTCCATCTGTAGTCTGATTGTTCCTGAAACAGTGATTGTAGGATTGCAGTACCTTTTCCACTACTCAATCATGGTGATGTTGACTTCATTCAGTGCCATTAATGTTTTTGTATAAATGACTTCTGTACATTTTTAATGCAGAATGGGCCTTGGGTGATGCAGAATTGCTTGAGTTGATCGCTGTCCTCCCCTAAAGGTCTCATGAACATAGTTTCTCAGTAAGGAAATATCTTGCTTTATATAATGTCTTTGCTTTATAAGTGACTGTTTATGGCTTTAGTTTCTAATGCAGAACACTTAAGGACATAATGCTGTTTTCATGATTGCAATTCTAGATGAGGTTTTTAAGAAAACAAAAAAAAACATCAATGTAACATTGTATGTAATCTTTCTAGGTGTTATGTACTTAGTTTTTTATAGAATAGTCTGGATTCAGTAGCTGAGCCCTGTTGATCACATTAACACTGTTAGCAGTTCAAAACTGATCCTAACAATGTTTTCATCATTAGGATAGACCTCTCCCTGACTTCATACATCGTCATGTAAAGTTAAAGCATTCAGATGTGAACTGGAATCATGTCATGTATATAAGACTAACACTACAACTGCTTGTAAGAATTGTGAGCATTTCTTCATTGAAATAATAGTATGAAGCAAATCACACCATGGAGTCAATTTGCCTTTTCTCTTAGTCTGTACTGGCTTACTACTATGTAGTTTTACAAGAAGCTAACACATTGTTTTCTTGACGTATGATTTTGTTTATTTATTATGTGCTATCTGCATGAGATGATAATTCTCTGCGAGAATTTAACTGTTTATTTGATAATGTTTCAGTCAGATAAATATCATTAAACAAGTTGTTTCAACTTGAGTTGTGGCTCTAAGTTCATGAAAGCTTTGGTTATTTGTTTTTACCTGGACTTAACTGCTAAAAAAAAAGGGGGGTGTGATACTGTGTTGAATCTGTACTTGTAACTTGTGAGAGTTCTGTATAAAATTTTAATTGATAAGTTGTTGTAATAAACCTTTTAATATCTCTTTAAAATCCAGCTTTGCTTCCATTTCATTCTCCAGTCTGATTTCACCAGAATGAAGAACAGGTGGAAATAAACTGAATATGTAAATAATCTCAATGGCAAATACATGGCTCCACGTTGTGTTTCTAACACTAAGATGCTAATAACAATAATAATTATAGTAATAGCAGTAGTGGACAAGCCTGCCAGTCCTCAGCACATGCTTTAGCAGTGTTTACAACAGGACAGTGTCATTGCAGCTTTCACATGAAATGTCTCACAAAACTCTATATTAATGTGAACTGAAAAACTTTCTTGTGGTGTGTTGTGCCACCTTGTGGATGATCTAGATCTAGATTTTGATGGATTATTAGTCATGTGGAGGTACTGACAGTTTTTGTTTTTCATAATTCTCAAATATTTTACCACAACCAAAGTGAACTACTAAAACTAACACAAAGTTAAAATACACATATTAAAAAAAACGCTTCTGCATTCAAAACCTTAATTAAATAAAAATCCAGAAATATTATCAGCATTACTTTTATATGAAAAATATGTTCATGCTGAATCTAATTTTATCAATTTCATATACTGTATGTTTTGTGCGTAAAATCCTTATCTGCAAAGTAACTAGTATATAGTATATAGCTGACAGATAAATATGGAGTGAAAGATACAATATTTTTAGTGGAGTAGAAGTATAAATGATCATAAAATGGAAATATTCCCAAAAAGTATCTCATTATTGTACTCAAGTACAATATTTCTACTGCTCATATTAAGGAGAATACTGATTGTCATAGATGCAATTATTTCGACCAGCCAATGAAAAATAACTACATTACATTTATTCAAGCATTGCATGTAGGTAGACTAAGGTGCTTGTACTTCACTTAAACATTTTAATTTTTGCCAGTACTTAAAATTTCTTCTCCACTGCAGTTGCAGGTTAGGATTCAAAATGCATGATCAACTGATAAAATATGATACGTTGTGATAAATTAAACTGCCCCGCAGTGCATAAAGTAGTGACTACAGCTTACTACTGTTCTGCTATTAAGGTACTGAACTTGAGGTCTGACCCAGCTCTCTCTTCATTTAAATCTTCAAGGCTTACTGTCTTGTTTGCCACAGCCTTTAATAAATTAAGTTCAGCATTACCTATTCGTATCTTGCACTGCTCTTTGAGAGCAATCTTCTGTTTCTTCTGTTTTATTCAGTGTTATTGTATTTTTATCTTCTACTTTATTTTTATTATATTTAAATCATATACGTGCGTCTCTATATATTGCCTTGTGTATCTTTTATATCTTGTCTTCAGGCCTTATGTAAAGCACTTTAAGATTTCTCACTGTGGAAAGGCTCTATGCAAATAAATGTGCATTTCCTTACTGAGCCAACACCAAGCTGCCATTTGCACTTCAGCATACTGTGCACAAAACACAGGTAAAGCGGAGCTGCCCTGGTGATGCTAAGTAAGCCAGAATATGTCCCTTGTAGGAGCAGCAGTAAACACTTAGGTAACACATACCACTGCAATGCTGGCAACTGATTAATTAACCAGCACCAGCTCTGACCATCCAGCAGGTGGAGTTACATCCAAACCAAAGCTTCAAATAGAAGTTACTGACTTAATGCATGTAATATAACTGCTTTTCATGGTAATGTTATTCAAATTAATGTCAAGAGAACTCACAAAGACGTAGCACTCTTTGTTGAGGAAAACAAGCTTCTCAAATTGAAGATTTATCAACAAAAAAACCACAGTGTTCACTCAGTTTATTTCATTAATTCCACTTGTATAATTTGTTTTCAATAAAATGTCATCATCACCTAGAGTATTTAAAAATTAGAAATTAAAAATTGGAGTCTTTAAAACTCAGAAAACAATGTATTTTCTTTTATTTAGTTGTGTTTTTTATTTTTACAGAGACAAACTTTTGCCCGCCAATACACGGAGCTCCCTACAGTGTTAAAGTAGGGCAGCCTTGATTAGCTGCTGATCACAGAGGGGAGAATTGTAGATGTTACTATGTAGGTCACAGCATTCACGAATAACAACACTTTTGGCTTGATGCTGCATATTTACAAAGCTGGAACCGTATTACACTACAGTACCGCTCTGCATCTTTGAAGTTAAATCAAAAGGAGGGGAGAAAAAGCAGAGCATCACAGTGAGATTTCTCTGTTCTATTCACCTCCACATGCCACCTATTAATTTTGATTGTTTGATTAATTAAATTCCCCCTGGCAAACAGCTTTGTGTTATTAATTATTCATTTCATAATGATCAATGTTAATTCGTTTTCATTAATGAATGCATGGCGTATCGCCATTTTCTGGCTACTGCAGCAGGAAGAGAAGCTTTCAGACAGACAGCAGTGTCCTGTGTGGTGAACACAATCCACACACCGTTTAGGAGATAAAAAAGCATCATCAATATAACTTGCTTTTTTCACTTCCAACACACAGCAACAGTACTCGTATTTCACAAAATTATGAGCCACATGTGGATGTGGAGCCATCACATACAGCAGAGCCTAATTGGCAATGAATGGCAACAGAAATAAAGATGACCCACGTGCTATTTGGGAGTCTCTCTGTTTTACCCTCCCAATAAATGAGCGTGATAATAATGTGGAGCTGATCTGCTGACAGGCAGGCTGCTCCAGCTGTTCCCATAATTCGGCAGGTATTACGCTTTGGCCCTTAGCAGCCTGCCTCAGCAGACTGGCACTTAATTAGGCAAGGATTAAGGCCAAACAGCCTCATTTACGTGAATTGTATCATAAATACAAACTAGCTACCCTTTTTCCTTCAGGGGGCATCAGGGGTAAATTTGAAAAATGCAGAGCTTTGCTGGAAAGAGGATGCTCCAGGCCTTAAACTCCAGATTTCTCAACAATGAGGGCTCTTTCCCCCTGCTGAGGGGGTGCTGTTTTTGAGCGCACGCTTTAACCCCTCGAATCCAGGGAGACAGAGATGAAACAGCTTGATTTACATTTAATTCAGATTATGTAAATATACTGGTTGTGTCCCAAATCAAACGTGGGACACAATGCAAGCTGCCTGCAGCACCCAGCAAAGATGGCCTCTATTGTTATTCAAATGTAAGGAATAAAACATTTCTTTCATAAAGTCCGGGCATTTAATTGAACTCTTGATGAGATATAATATGTTCTCTCTACAAATACTGATAACTACTCATTATTTTCACTTGGCAACCTCCACATACTGTCATACTGAGTCTGTTTGCTTTTGCTCTTGATTGCAGGGCGACATGGTATCTTGCTTTGCCACCAGGGACGTGCATCTATTTAATAGTAATATAGGGGTGTATCAGCTCAGCTATCACTGAGTGCACTGCACTGGTGGAGGCAAATCCCCAGTGGGCATGTGAACGTACGTCGGGTGAGCTTGACTCTGCCAATCCCTCCCCTGGGCACTTGCACTCCCCGGTGTGTCTGGAGGCGCCAGGACGTCTCCTCCATTAGTCTCTGCTGACATTAGCATGCATGAAGGTCTATTCATGGCAGTGGGCCTCTTACTGTGTTCAACTCTGTTTCCCATGTGAATTTGCTTGTGTTGTTATCAATATTTTATTTCTGCTGTATGGATTATCAAACAACTGGCCCCCGGACATAGACATGTGCAAGGTTTGCGTCTTTGTGGTTGTTTTACGTTTCTGCAGTCGGTTTGCATCTGTGTGATTGTTTTATAACTCTTGGTAGTTGTTTTGCATCTCTGTGGTTGTTTTGTGTCTCTTTGTAGTCTTGCAGTCGCCTCATTGTGGTTGCTTTGAGTCTTAGTGGTTGTTTTACGTGTCTTTTACGTGTAGTTGTTTTACGTATGGTAATTTTGCATCTGTTTGTGGTGATTTTGCATCTTTGTGGTCATTCTTGTATCTCTTTCAGTGACATTTTGCAGGTCCGCTGGGCCTGTGCCCAGTAGGCCTATTCAGTAATCTATCCATGTATGTTGATGTATAGACACTATTTACTCTTTGCTGATGGAAGAAGTAAAGATTCTTAAAGAGGTCATATTATGCTTTTTGGCTTTTTCCCTCTCCTTTATTGAGTTATGTACCATTTTGTGAATGTAAAAGGTCTGCAAAGTGAAAAAGCCCAAAGTCCATCCCAAAGGTAGTTCCCATCTCCCACAGAAAACACTGCTCTGAACTGCCTGAAAACAGCTTGTTTGTAGTCCAGCCTTTTCCTCTTGTTCTCTGTGACGTCACGGTGACGTTATAATGCTCGCCTAGCGACTAGTCTGACATGCCCTCAAAAACATCGGTGAAATAACACACTGAGCTGCAGCACACAGTGACATGACATCTGCCTGCTGCCTCTCCTCTCCCTTCCAAACACTAGCTATCCTCCAGGCAGTCAATGAACATAAAGTTGTTACTGTGATGTAGAGACAGAGCTCAGTTAAAACTTTATGGATGAAAGATACATTTGTTACAAATTAATAACTTACCACTCTGAAACTCTTGCTCCAGTCCATGTTGCTATGCTAGTAAGGGGATATACAGCTGAACCGAAGCTGTGTTTACCGGCTTCTCGCGACCCACCCTACTCTGCTTCTGATTGGCTAGTAGCCCTTAACTAGGAACTGCACATGTGCAACTCCCAACATAGATCTTGTAAAGGTAAAATGGATCACTCCATTGCTAAAACGAAGTGTTCGACATACAGGGTGAAAAGAGGAGCTGCAGCAATGTGCAGTATGACAAAAAATATGGTGTTTTTTGAAAATGAAACCATGTAAACCTGTTCTGGTACAACCCATAAATAAGATTTTGAACCTGAAAATGAGCATAATATGAACACTTTAATACTTGTACAGTGTAAAAATACTCCTTTAGTCCTACTTAAGAAAAAAAAGAATATCAGAAATTGCTGGGAAATGTAAAGCAAGACATCTAATTTTAGAGACACAGCTGAGGCCAAATAAGAGTTGTATGTGTGGGATCTGTGTCAGACAGCAGTGCCAAGTTAAAAGGAGTTAGTTAGCATGCAAAGAC